ACAATTTCTCCACTGTGAGCGCTCACATAAGAAATTACTCAAATATAAGAAACAAACGCACAATCAGAAACTTCTGGATGTGCTGAACAATAGTAGTGATTCCAAAACCTTTCGGACTACCCTCGAAAAATTCAGACATCCAACACCATTGAAAACACTGAGTTCTCAAATATGAGAAGATTTCTATTCTAACATTTATCCTCTACGCCTTATAGATAATGCAAATTTTTTTGATGCTAGAAATCCATATCTTGACACTCCAATTACTTCCTGTGAGATTTATACGATTATCAACTCCTATAAAGATAACAAATCTCCTGGCTGCGATAAAATAACCTATGAATTTATGAAAAATTTACCCCACAACTGGATTCTCTATTCAACCTGTCTATTCAATAAAGTTTCGGATTCTGCAGTAGCTCCTGGTGGTTGGAGTAAAATCGTTCTGTCAATTATTCATAAAGAAGGCCCGGCAGAAGATTCTTCAAATTGAAGAGGTATTGCGTTATCGAATTGTCCAGCTAAAGTTTCTACTCAAATAATACTCAATAGGCTCAATACCTGGACTGAAGATAATGCAATTTTACCTGAAAATCGAAACGGATTTCGGAAAGGCAGAGGTTCCCTAGATAACGTTTATACTCTTTGTGCTGTCATTCATTTGAATTTGCAATCAAAAAAACGGAAGGTATTTGCAGTGTTCGTAGATTATGAACGTGCGTTCGATTCTGTCAACCATTCTCTATTGTGATCGAAACTGTTCTTGGTGGGGTTGAGTTCTAAAATTATATCATTCTCAAAAAACATATATGATAATGCTCGAATGAATGTCAAATTCTCAAAAGGTTTCACGAAGCCATTTGATGTCACAACGGGGGAACTTCAAGGTGAACCACTGGGCCCATTGCTTTTTTCCTTGTTTTTGTCCGATATGGAGAATTTGTTTCATTCTGATGGTACTTCTGGGATGAATATAGATAACAGAAATGACCCCCTGATGCTTCTTCATGCAGATGATATAGTGATTTTGGCGGACTCGGAAATAGATCTCAGCCGCAAACTCAAAATCCTTGAAGACTACAGTGACCTGCTCACTGTTAACGTGCTCAAAACTAAAATTATATGTTTTGCGAGGAGCAGCATCCACTCTGAGAATCTTAGGTTCACTTATGAAAGCAACCATGTGGAAGTCACAAGAAAATTCATCTACCTAGGAGTGGAATCTTCATCTTCATCCCTCTTCGAAAATATCGCAACCGCACTGCGGATGGAAGCAAGCAAGCTGTGGGCGCTGTTTTTTCTATCATGGCCAAAACAAAAATGAATTGCTGGCGCTCCAGAGGAAAACTGTTGAATTCACTTGTTCTGAGTGTGTTAACCAATTGTATACCGGTTTGAAGCTGGCGCTATGTCGATACTCTAGAACGCGTACAACTTAACTTTTTGAAAATAATGCTATGTTTGCCTGTGAATACTCCAGGTTATGTTGATAGACCTGAGGTAGGTAGAGTCAAGATTTCATATATCATTTTCAAACTTACTTTGAACTGGTTACTCCAAATCCTTTTAATGAATGTAAGTTGCCTACCAAAAATTTGTTTCGAAAAACAGCTAGAACTCCGCTTCGTAGATCAAAGATACAATTGGTCTATTCAAGTTTCTAAAGAGCTTGAATATGCTGACTTCAACTTTTCACTATCACAGCTTACATCTAGGTATCTTATACAGAAAAAGTCTATCTTACTCTCAAGGTATATTATGCAGAAATTGAAAGAGGAAGACAGGTCCTTGTTCTGTCGTCCAACCTTCTTAACATTCACCCAAACTCTCACACTTACTCAGGACACCCAGAACTATTTGCACATGAAGGTGCCAATTCAAGTCACTAGAACTATTGCGCAGCTCAGACTATGTGATAAGTTGATGATGGGATTCACCTACCGTACAAACCCAAAAGAAATATGTTCAGTATGTAACAAATATGAGCTTGAAACTATTAATCACCTCTTATTCGACTGTCCTATTCATACTTCAATGCGACCTCGGAATACTCCTTTCTTGGAAAATGTGAATCAATTGATCGACATGCTCAATAATATGACTCCTTCTGCAGCAAAATCAATCACTTCACATATCTGCAATATTTTGAAACTGAGATCTTCCATAATAAACGGATAGTCTGTATATACTCTCCCTGTATTATTGTGGTCTGTATTATTCCATATCTGCTTTATAGTTTTTTTATCCCATGCTTCGTATTGTAGCAACACTTTCATGTGATGTTTCATTATTTTTTTGTACATATAATATGGATAATTTGTGTCAACTTGGTAATTAACATAAATCTGTGTATAGCTATGTGTATATTCTCTGAATTTCGGGTGAGGACTCACATTGTATCAACTATTTTTTTTTCTCTTTCATTCGTTCCATACCATGCTCCTTTTCTTCTTTTTTCAGCATCACTTACATGTAACTTCCATTATTTTGGTACATAATATGGAACATATTAGTGTCAACTTGTTGACTAAAATGTATTTGTACCATTTATGGTATATCCTCTTATATTCCGGTTAAGATTTGATTTTCATTTCATATTGATATTTATATTCAATTAGTAACTCCTGTAATTCTATCAAATTTCTTGTTCATAAAACTTCATGTTCTGTGTGAAAAATGAATGAATAATGATAATAATAATAATAATAGGTCATGGTATAGTGGCCTAGGACGTAATATCATCACAAGAGCGAGATGTTGTGTTATCAAACTTGATTTCAACACACGTAAGTCACACAAATTAGCACTACCCACATTAGTAAATCGCGACTTCGAAATATAATCCTTATTTGAGATGATCAAGAAGATCGAATATAATTTCGAAGACGTCAGTCAACATGCAAAATATCCTAGAGGTAACTGATTATTTTATCAAATAGGTAGACACTTTGACATTATGATGCCACAGAAATAGTCGAACTCTAGATAAAACTTCATTCGTCTTGTGAGTCAGAGAAAAATATAAATCCTGCATTTACTATCGAGTTCCACCATACTGAAATTGATGATGGAATGTACTGCTAACAAAGGAACCAACTAACTTCGCGATGATAGACGGAAAATGTCTTATGGGAATATTTCGATCAAATAATCTGAGACTCATATTCGAAGATCATGAAGGAAAATAAGATATCCTGCTGAGATGTTAGCTACTTCAATCAGCTATATGATTAATTTTTCTAATTTACTCAGTGCGGCAAAATCTCCAATATGAAAGGACTCCTCCCGATACTTGATACGATTGATAGCCACTTCTATAACCAGATTGAGTCGATATACTGTCGAACTGGGGTTTCTTTCTATCAAGGACCAAAAGTTTCAACAGGATCTCCACAGTGATCAACCTAGCCTCTGAGCAGTGTCCATTCTAGTTTCTTGACAGTCCTATTTGCCTGGTGATCAAAGCCATGGTCAGCTCTATAGGCGCTGTCGATTGAAAGAAACTTCCATCACCTACTTAGAATATATACAGCCGAATTTCTGAGAGTGTTGAAGGTCTTCCCTCTCGGAAAAATAATCAACTCACATGCAATCGGGTCTCCTCCAATCCATTGATCACCTTGCTTTCTTGGAATCTCAGTTTATGTTAGAGTGGCCTACGACGTAATATCCTCACATCCTTGTCCTGGATTCTTGTCAATGAGTAGCCAATTTAATTCTACAAAAATCAGTAGTTATAGTGGCTCGTGGTCCAACACACAGGGTGTGAACTCTGACCACCGTCATAGGCATGCAGCTCCTAGTGTATATTAACTAGCCATGCTAGTTGCGATGAATTCAAATGATGTATTTTCACATTGTATAACCAGAAAGTCTATGGAGGTCGGTTTCTTATTGTGGTGTTCAAATGAGGATATACTCCTAACGTGAAAAATGAACGTTACAGAATATTCCTAGGAGTCGATTTGCCCATCACTGTCATTCACGGGTGTTAGATTAGAATTGTCGTCAAGGTTTACATTGGCAGCCTCTGAGAGCTCTCATAGAGTTAAACTTGTAATGTACTCCTTTTGTTTCACATTGAATGTTCCGCATTATGTCCACCATCCCTTATCCGATATTGTCTATCTCTACACCCTTGTGATGTTTTTTATTTGAAACTGAGTGAACAGAATTTGAACGGATCATATAATTAGATGGTTATTCAATCCGATTCGAATTTGGTAATAATCGCACAACTTACAGCTGAGATATAAAGGCGAAGCGTTAGGAATGAGACACTCTATACCTGGTGCTTCATAAGTGAAAATCAAAGATACTTTCGCCATAGAATCCCGAGATTGAAATATTGAAATCGACCCCAAATCAATGAATGATAAAAGTAATTCAATGACTCAAAACACCGGAATTTTTACATTAAAGTATTACACATCAAAATCAAAATAACTGTCAGCTCCATCAAATTGACATATCTCAAGAAATCAAGACTTTATCGCTATGAAAAAGAAGTAAGATATCAACTTCAAGAGTATTAAAAAATCAAAAATTTGTGATGGAATTGCAATTCGGCCAGTTGCTTAGGAAGGATTAACCTCTCACTTGCCCTTGTCGTACGCCTCTGGCACTAGCCAAAATCGTTCATACAACAAAATTTAGCAAAAGGTTTAGAGTCTACACTTCAAATATCTGAATTGAACTACTTGGTGTTTTATTCCGAATAAGAAGACAGGGGACACATTTTATTTGAGTGATTCGAGTTGACTTTTTATATTTCATGCTCAGGATTCTATAGTTTAGATATTCCTGATTAGCAATGGAACAAACTGTATATGAATTTTTTTATTTATAGAATCCATGATTTGACAATGCTGTCCAACGAGGACCTCTCCCAACAGATAATCGACCTGAATCTTCGAGTGAAAGAAAAACAATCATCCATTTCCATCCTTCAAGAAGAATTAGCGACTCTCCGAAAACAAGTTCTGAAACAAAATAAGCACATGGAGCAGATAGTGAAGGAGAAACTGAAACATCAAAGGGACGAGTATGAAGGAACTATTAAACGTCATCAGAAATTCATTGATCAGCTGATAACTGACAAAAAGTCATTGAATCAGCAATGCGAGAGCTTGATTGAGGAAATGAGAATATTGGAAGATAGATACTTCACTAATACTAAGGCTATCGAGCATAGACACCAAGTTGAGATGAAAAAAATTAAAGATATGCAAATTGCTAGTGAAAAAATCAGAAGAGAAAAATGGGTCAGTAACAGAACTCAAAAAATTAAGGTAATCATCTATCATTCATTAATGAGAAAATAAATTATCATATTACTCGTGAAACATCGTACTGCTTTGGAGAATATATGATGAAAACCTAGGTGTTAGACGATTATTTTCGAAAATCTGGTGATAACATTAGTTCTTGAGTAGTCTTTCCAGACAGTTTTTCACTATATCTGAAAAATTATTGAATAGATGGGGGCCCACGCGAATTTCCTATTTTAGAATTTGTTGCCTTGATGTGATCGTAAATGATTGGTATGCTCTGCGTAAACAGATAGATCGGCAGAGAATGTATTGACATCTTCATCTGTGTTAGTTCCTATTGAGCGTGTTCCTAGGTACTCGAAACTGAATTCAGAAACTATCTGAATTATTTCCAATTTCTCATTCTGATTCTCAGTACATCAACTGATCAACACAATGAATGTTGTGGTCGAAAAGAGGCTGATTTCAGAATTAAATGTCTCATGTTATCCATGACTGATTCATTCACCGAGCAGTATGAGACTACGAATATTCCATAAATAAACTTCCTACAGGATGATAATTGAAGTATTATAAACTTTCAGCGATGTCGTGATGTTTCCCTTTGAGCAAATATCTCCCATAATTATTCTTTCAACCGTTATCATTGAACCTGATGTCTCCTCTCGAAATTATTTTGAAATTCCTTCAATCAGACCAATTATGTCCAAGATATATGTTTTTCTCCAGGATGATGCATGTTATTAACAATAAATTGATTAACATTGAATGTGCGTGATGTAATATTCCTCATGAAATCCACATTGTATAGATAGTGAAAGATAATGTGAGATTGTCTGGATACAGGAACTCTTCATGAATAGTTTATCACTACCTAGTTGATAAAGATAGTCACATAAGAAAAAGAACATACTTTCGGGGGACACTCAGTACTATTCAGATAATTCTTCCTTAGGCTTAACATTCCTGTAGGAAGTAAGGAATTCTACTTTGGCTCCATTGTCTGATCCAATGTACTGGATCTGAATAGGGTAGATGAAAAATGAAAACCTACTTTGTTTTGAGATAAAACAATGATTGACTCACCTAAAGTGTTCTCCATAATGTTGATGACTTTAGAGATTAACTTTAGAGTTTTTTTTATTCCTTGAGTGAATGTTCGATATGGTTCATTCCTTTCATTTCACCAGTAAGATTTTGTCGGTGAGGTATGTCTTTTTTCTAATCTTGCGTGAAAATATGGTCATCGTGGACATCCATATTTTTCTTGACTCACCAAGAGGCAGAGGGTAGATGAAGCAAATATCAGCTTCTGTTTTATAATTCACATCATGGACTTGTGGAAATGAAAAGTAGTATGAGATGATTCGTCTATCGTTGGTTTCTGTTTCGAACAAGTTTATTCGAACTACTAGGTCTCAGCCCCTATCAAAACCATTAGAATTCGAGAAAATCAATTTTTCCCGGATCCTTGTTGTTTCGTGAGTGATTGGTGTTGAGGGGACAGAAAATTGGACTTCGAAGAAAATTGAGTTCATGAAGATGTTTTCTTGGGCATCCATGATAAAAGACGCGTGCCAATAGGTAAATAAGTGATATTTTTGATGACTTCGAAATCAGGTTGAATATTAATTTCTTCACAACGTTCTCAACGCGAGGCGTAACCACCGTCACCTACTTTGGATGCGGGAGTTCGATGTCACGAGCTCCAGTCGAAATGTTAATTCCTTGTCCTCCTTCAACCGTTGTCAGAGGGTGAGTGATGTTTTCGGTGGATAGTCTTGTTGACTAGGAATTCTTGTACCTCCAGTGAATTTGGAGCTATAGGACACATTTTTCTCATTTACTGCATTGCTAGAACATGCTGAAACGCCAGGAGAAATCCCCAGGAAGATGAGCAACGGAACCCATCAGACTAGATCAAAAGAAGCCCTTCCTGTTCTCTGTGCTGCAGCTTATATTCTGATCTCTATGCTGTCGTCTCGCAGGCAGAAATACCCAGAAAAAGAGACTGCAGGATTCAGCTCACTGAATTAGTGGCATCATGCAATATTGTTCTTTTTATCAGGAGGTGAGATAAGAAGAAGATTTTGGATTGTAAAAAAGAATGTTTCCTTGATTTTGACTGATGATCGTCTAAGATTCACAAGTTCTTACGGATTTTGAAAGTGGTTGACTACAGAAGAAGTGTTCTCAGTGCCCAGTTTGATACCGTAGAAACTAGACACTGGTAGTTTCAGCAGAACAGATGGGTGGGTACGTAAGGCTGAGTAAAATACTAAGTTCAATAGGAAAAAATATGCTTTTGATTACAAGAAAAAGGAAATGCCAAATATATATAATCTGGAGGTTATTAATTTTCAACTGAATAACTGCCTGGAATTAACTTTTCAGATCAGTATAAGATTATGCAACTATAACTGTTCAAAATCAACTCTCTGAGGCAGTACGGAGATATGCAAATCGAACAACAAAATGGCTCAGTGAATCAGTATTCATGAGAGTGACGTTATAAGGCCTATCATACTGCAGTGCACTTTTGGTTTACAGGAGTATGTTTTGTACCTATACTGAGTGTATTGACACGGTATATAGATGGTTCGTTCATCCATATCAATTCCCCCATTCACGTTGTTTCGATGAATTCAAGTAGTAGATAGTTTATCAAAATGAAAATTGTGATATTTCATCACTCATACATTATTGAACTGATTGAAAAAACTTCTGTTGAATACCGCATACTCATTCCTCCAATTTTGTTGAAACTAGACCGTACATTTCTTTGTCTAACAACTCGCAAATATTTTCCATTTCCGGAAAGTCATCTCCGGGGGTGAATATCATTATAATCATCTCCATAATCCATGAATAAACATCATCATCATATACGAACTCATTATTCCACATAAAGACATCATTTCATGTCCTATCAATTCGAGTAAGGTAAATCCTTCATGCCTCAGTGTGGCATATCTTCCAGGATTCCTTTCTATTCACTGTAACAGCGCACACCTCTTCAACTATAACAATTCGTACTTCTTAGAATATCAACCGAACAGCTACTTCTCTGGATGTGCTTTGGCTAGGACCACGAGAGACGCTGTGATTATTCTGTACGGAAACGGTTTCCACTTGTAACCCAGTACCAATCTCTTCATTGTGAGTTTACATAAACATCATTATATTTGAGCTCAATAAGTTCATTCCATATCATATTTCCATAACATGATAATATCATATGAATGATAAAGAATGGTAAAAAAGAGTAATTTCAATATTTGAAAGGTGATATATATACTGACTGAAATATTTTGAATCGAAACATCCTCAACTATCACTCGAATCATAAATCATTTGCATTCGCACTGATATTGAGATCTGTCATGATTCATATCAAGCATGTCGAGAATTTGTTATTATTGTTTTCATTGTGTATTCTTATAAAATTATAGACACGTTGTGAATGACTTATTATATTTTCGATTGATATAGGTGTTCTTGGCATTGGCATTGCATTTTCGAATATTTCAAATTATCTTGATTTGAGGAAAAGAACTGGCAAGAATGAGACGTAGGAAGAACTTCTTTCTGAATTGAAATGGAAGATCAGAGATAAGCTTCAAACTTTGTGAGTCCGGTCTAGTGCTTTATGTAATTCCTTTGAATAGAAATTGAATGATTGTTATTGAACTTCTCAAGCTTAATCGTATATTGAATATAATGGATATCTGATTTAACTGAATTTCTCACTTTGTTATCACCCATAATTCATGTTGCTATACTCAATTACTTTCGAATAGCCATCTTCACAAGTGCCTTGAAAAAAATCAAAATTATGAGTCCATTATGAGGAATGCGACTCAAGGTTAGACGCTCAGGCGCCTCCACAATGGCACGTTATATAGATGGTTCGTCCATCCATATCGATTTAAAAGGAGTAATGCTTGGCATAATAGTTTGCGAGAGGTGATATTCGAATAGGCACTTATAATTTAGTGATAACTAAAAGTACGAGACTATATTCAAAAATAACAATATGTATAGAAGCATTGAACATTATGAGTAACGATGACAAATATGAAAAAAACAACAATCAATATAAAGACCTAATAACAACTCACATTATAACGACCATTACGACGAGCTTTCGTCGAGTCAAGAGTAGCCCCAGACCAGACTAACTTCGGAACCCTCACATCCAATATTTATATACATCAATTTATTATATTCGCACCTTTCTAATGAGAGTTCCTTGGTCAGTTTTCATAATTCAATGTCAACGGATGATTTGATCAACTTCATTTTAATAAAACCCTCATGGTTCTGAATTACTAATATACTGTATGTTCTACTCGTGATAGTATAATGAATCAAAGACATCTTGCGATTATTATGTTACATAAAACTTATAATGATGAAGTTTGGTTGGTGGTAGTTTTTCCCAGATGGATTATTATCCCTGGAATATGGAAAAAACTCACCAAGTTATTATGAGCAGCACAACACGTAGTAGATATTATATTAAATATATCTGGTCCTGATGTACAGGGGAAATCAGGTGGAGTCAGGCAGCGTCAGGCAGGGGATGTCTTCTATATGTAAGCTCCAGGTCCGAGCAAAGAAGGATCGAATCTCGTGGGCGACAACAGGGCGTGATAGTTTCAGCCCGTTGAAAGGAACCCTACATGGAAGGACGACAATTTTGAGTTATTTTCACGAACACAAGGCATGAAGAGAAAATAGCAGCTGATAATACAAGGAAAAAAATCCTTTGATGGTGTGCGGGTTCTAGTAGATGTGATGCGAGTCGAGTCGGCCACGTGGATTTCAGCCACACATGATCCTCTTATACAGGCAACAGAATTTTCATCTCCACCATGAATATCCCAAATTGGAGATCTTTCTTTCATCAATCCTACACAGAGTAATGAAACATCAAAAATTAGGCAAATTCGAGATTATTCAAGAAACAGATCTTATGGCTCACTTTTGTGACCGAGCTAGACGACCGCTGCAGA